AGTTAATCTTGCAGCCACGCGGGTAAATCCGTTTGGCCGCGATGCTAATCGGCTTGGCACACTTGCTTACGATCTCCCAGCTGGCGGTCAGCACAGAGGCGCTTCCAGATCCACGCTGCGAGAGCTGCAACGTGAGTCGCCCAGATGGAGGTGACACTGCCTTCCTGCAGACAGTGAAAGCCTCTGGTGAGCCCATCTCACCAAAAGAGTTTGCGGAAAAGATGCAGTGCCATCCACAGGCGAATTCCTTCTTCATCAACGGAGGCGACTTGGTATGGGTCATGAACCCAAATCCCGGTGTCCTTTGGGGGGACCTTCTGCTGAGTTGGGAGCGAGGCGGTCCCCAGAACAAGCCGTACGTTGGCATTGATTACACGTTCATGTCGCAGAGTTACCAATTCACAGATTACCTGACTCTCGCCACAGATGTGGGCGTGACGGTTTTGCCTATGACGCTTTGGATCCAGCAAACCATCAAGCTGAGTCTGACCTTGCCCATTCCCACGGGTTGCAACGATTTCTGGAACAAGGGCTCCGGCGGCCTCTACATCTTCCCGCCATGGGAGCTGGAGGCAGTGAAGAGCCCAGGATTTGATGACGCAGGTTGGCCGAAATCCCTAGATGCCAGGGACACGATTGTTGAAAGCTTGGCTTTTCGCATCCGCTTCAAGCCAAAGCTGAAGATTATCCCAGGCAAGCCGCCAGTTTGGATTATTTTTTCGGAGTTTGGCTTGCAAAGCCTAAAGCACATATGGGTTCGGTATGGTAAGTAGTGGGCTTGGGGTTTCGGAGCAAGAATGCTCAGGGCTGAGCTCAAGGAGTCAGGTTGCCTGCGGCCCTTATCCTACTTAGGTTTACCGATTTCGAACCTATTCATTCCACAGCCAACACGAAGCCCCAGACTGGAGAAGACCTACACAACAAAGACAGCGAAACCTGCGCAGGTGCTACTCCGGACGCCCCGCCGATCATGGAGCTGCGGCTCTCCTTCTACCTGGAGTTCCGGCCCATCTTCCGCAACCCCAGCACTCAGCCAACCACGATAACCACCACCGCAAGACCATATGACCGCCGACGTAGGGGCCAACTCCCTCCGGCGCCACGCGAGGTAGTGGAGTGGTGCGCGAAATTTGTTCGACAATGCTGCATCCCGGTCAGGGTCCTCATCAACACCTTGTGGACCTGTACGTTATGCTGTCCGCGACCGCCTCGCTGCGGACCACAGTGCCTTTGCCCGTGTGGTTTGCGCATGTTTGCGCCATGTCTCCAACAGCTCCTTAGCAGCTGAGGTAGACGTTACACTTGTTCGGATAGTATCATCCCCCAAAGTACTATGTTACTATAGTACTATTTTAACCATAGACTATGGAACTGAAAGTTTACTCTTTCTTGGGGCTCCTGAACTCGGCAGCTGAGGCTCCGAAGGCTCCGATGGCACCCCGAGCATGAGTTTCCATCTGAGCCGGATTGACGAGGTGTGAGTTTGTTATATAGACTGATGGGGTCGCCCTTTTTTTGGGGGGATCCCTGAGCCTTTTAAATCTCTATAATCCCTACGAGTAGGATCCTAGGATCTTTTGGGGCTTTTAGGGGGTCATTTGTTAAGGCTCTTGCTTTCCGAACCTGCCAGGCTCCAGCTGCGCTGAGCCAGCGGGAGTGGTTTGCGGAGTCGGCTGAGTGGCCCGAGAAGTTGACCATTCCTGCCGGAGTCCTTTTCGACACGTCTGACGTGCGCACCTTGCTCTCCACAAACGAGATGCAGAGAGTGCAAGACTTCAAGGACACCGTGGATGAGCAGACTGTGCCACCAGAAAATGTGTCGGTGACCGACGGTGACTGCGCTGAGCCTTTCGCGATCGGCGGCGGCTGCAAATGCAAGCGGGGCTGCTCGCCCTTGCCCTACCTGAACTCAGATTTTGCATCGGACAGGAGCCTTTCCTGCGACGGGCCATGGCCTCCGCCCGGCCAATTGGTGGCACTTCGCAAGACGATATGTGGGCCTCGGAAGGTTTACAAGGCTTTCAAGCTGGGAAAGACAGCACAGCCCGGCGGCATCGTTGCGATTTGCAAGGTGGGAACGTTGATTGGTGGCGCTTGCAGCAAACTCTTGCCATACGACGGGGCAGAGATCCTCGCTGCATTTCCTGAAGATCAGAGCAGGTTTCGATGCCTCGGCGGTGGCGAGTGGAGTGAACAGCCAGACCATCAAACAGTGGCCCATGGATGGTGTTTGGAGCTTGAGGGCAACGAGAAGGTCATCATTGTAAGGAGAGAAGGTCGGGACACTGCTTCTGCCAAATGTCCTGAAGGCTACCAGATTGTCGGAGGGGGCTGCACGTTCATTGAGGGCCTGCAGTTCACACTTCGTGAGTCCTACCCGACGTTGCAGAACACATGGGAATGCATCTTTAGCTCGACACAGTCCTGTGGCGAAGGCAGCCCACTGTGCCTTCGCAGTGAGGCTCGCGCGATGTGCCTGGGCATTGCAAGCGCACAGTAATTAGCTCCAATTTTCCACGACATGCCTAACAGTCTAAGCTGTAGCGTGTGTGGTCAATTGTCTTGTTCAGTGCAGGTCTACTGTACAGAGAATCCTGAAGCCTTCCCAGGATCTGCTCAGGCGCGGCAGAAGCGCGGCAGAAAAGAGTCACCTCACTGCTTCGCCTCGGACCTTGGAGGTAGCACTTTCAACGTCACCATAGCAGATAGCATAGTAGGTAGAGTCTTTTTTAGAGTAAGATAACGTAGTGTAGTGCATAGCAAATTGTATGGTGTAGTTCATATCATAGTCAATGATATCAGACTCGTATTTCTAGGAGGCCCAGGAATCCTGGGCTTGGAGCTTGGACTCGCTGCTCACGACAAGCCCTTCCGAACCTTGAAGCCGTCAACCGCTTAGAAGAAAAAGCTGAGAATGCGAATGACAATTCACAAGCATAGCACCGTCAAATCGCCTGCACCATGCTGCCACCACTGCTGCCACCACCGCCGCCGCCGCCACCGCCACCGCCGCGCCTACCACCACCACGATGGGGGACCACTCCTAGTGCCACAACTGCTACACAACGACGATGACTACTATTGCTATTCTTCCAGTGCACTGTCCCGGCACTAATTCCAGCAGCCACGTCTTGCCAAAGCGAGCTCAAGGGAGCTTCGGACAGAGTCTGACTGAAAGCATTTTGAATCCTGTACCTCACTCCCTACACCCCAAAAGCTCAACCCTCAACTACATCGCAAAACCCTAAACCCTGAACCACATCTTGCTCTATTCTTGAGCCTTCTTGAGCCTTCCGGAGGTCTTCCGGGATGAAGCCGGCAACACCTGGAACGCCTTGCGGCGGGGTCTGACGGATCTCAAGAAGGCCTCTTGTGCAGGTTTGGATCACCTCATCGCGGGGCGGTATAGGCGGATACTTACGTAATTACTCTATATTGAGACCTTACCTGGTATCCCGGTAGACTTTGCCTACGTTACATGCAAGCAGGGTCTGTGTGCTTCTTTTACCGGCTCTGGTTTTCAACCTTTTTTTGTCAATCGGAGCGAGACTTGCTCCTATGGATGTCTGTGCGTCTTGCTCCGATGGCAGTTTCTTAGTGCCGCCGGGGGTGGATACGTTGCCAGGCCCATTCTTAACGAGCGCGTGTCTTCAGGTTTTGGCTCCTTTGGTACCGTGACTTCTGTGTTCGTGAGTCCGACCGACGACTGCTTCTGACCCTAAACCCAAAACCCTCAAACTTCCCTCTCCGTTGCTTCCCTGCGAGGAGCCTGAGAAGCTGAGTAGCATCGAGCTGCTCGAGCCTTGGACGTTCTGAGAGCTGGACCGTTTATGGGTTCCTTTCAAGGGGTCCATACGGGCTACTGCAAGTGATCTTTAAGGGTACTATGATATGGGGCCTTTAGAATTAGAATAGGGTTTTGGGCGACATCATACTATAATTATAATCATGAACCCCCAAAATGGTTTTGGCAATGAGAGCTCTTTGATCAAGCAAGCAGCCTGACGGGAGCTTCCTTGCTTCTCTGCTCGTCTCCAGGATGTTTGATCCTGTTTCTCAGAGGCCATTTGTGGTACTGTTGATGGACAAAATCCTGCATTACCCATTATAAGGAATTCACCATAGTTCCAATAGTTTAGGGTCCTTAAGGTCAGCATCGCCCTCGGAGCACCCAGGCCCGCGGATGACACCATAGCCTCCGTGTGGGACCTGCTTGCATGTTGCAGTCCCAGCTCTGAGTCTCTGGACATGATCGGAGACGTTTGCAGAGAATGCCAGTAGTATCCTGGAAAAGATCTCATCATCTCGGTTGAAATACTGCATAAAAAGGGAAAGTATGGCTCATGCCTTCAGTCTCGGCAATCTTTGCGGCTATCTGAGGCACTCTGACTCTGAAATTAATTTCTCAAGTGTGTCGCTTGGTCGTCTGGCCGGCTCATGGTCGCACTGAGCTTGAGTGAATGTATGCAATTCTAGTTCACGCCATTTTGACATTCAGCACGCAAACAACATTAGCATATATTGGTAGTATGACGGCCAATGATATCGCTACTAGCAGTGGCAATTCTTCCAGTGGGAACTTGCCGATGCCAGGAGTTCATGCTGAAGTTGATGGTGGAGTCTCCCAAGTACGCTCGTCAAATCCTGGACGGGCTGTTGGTTTGTGCAGAATTGTACGTGGAATGATCCTATCGGAGCTTGGTGTGTAATGCGAAAGTCAGGAGATGAGGCGCGAAGGTTCGGGACAAGTCTGAGGCTTGGGGTAATCAGTTACTCTCCATCCCTAACCATATGGGTGGTTGTCAAAATTAGGGTCCTTTTTTGGGTCCCTATTATAATACGGCACCTTATACTTAGGCAACCAAAAATGGACAACCACCCATATCAAGATTGGAGCCGAAATCTTGTTCTCGCACAGAATCCAGCAGCCTGCTGTACACGCATGGTCCCAGCAACTCCTAAAGCGTTCCATCCGAGATTCGATCCCACTAAAGCCGCCTGAGCTGAAACCTTCTCGTCTTGCGACATATGAAAGAGACAGAGAGAGAGATATATACATATATATATATATACAACTATCTGTGTGTGTATATATATAGAGATATACATACATACATACGCACATACATACATATGTATGTAGTCCTTAATGTAGTCCTTAATGCAAGGAGCATCCCCCCAATATCAAGAACCCCCTGCCCCCTCCCTAGACCTGAACTGCTACAGCCACACAGGACGCAGTGGACTTCTTGCTCAGCTCCGAGCGCTGGGCCCGCGACTTGAGATCGAAAATGCTAGCAAGACTCGACATGGACACGACCCGGCGAGGGTGTTCGGTTTCGGGCGGGAAGCCTTTGATGCTCACGATGTCGGCTCTTACGGGATCCGGCCTGAGGCTAGCAGCTGTCTTTCCCAGAAGAAAAGGACCTTGCAGGACCACAAAACCCCAGTTAAACCCCAATAAACCTGTTGAGCACAGTAAACCCTGAACTCTCTGAACCCCCCGAGGCAAAGGGCTTCCTAGACACGAAGGGCCTCCATCGGCTCTCGCTCTGGCCTGGGGCTCAGCGCATTTTGAGGGAGGGGGCAACGTTGGGTTCGCCAGGGTGTTTGCGTATGATTGCTGCTTGCGCGTGAAAGCGCCAGGGTCGATTGGCGATCCGGGGGTGGGTGGGGGGAGAGATTTGGTAGACGTCAACTGTTGAGCAGAGTGCCTTCAGGGTAGGGCTGCTTGCCACATGCTTTCCAGTCGAGTCGGTGCCTCTGGAGATGTCTTTGAAAGGTGAAGGCCGCAAGACGAATTGCCAGTAGCTCTGGCAGTGGTAGTTGTAGTGGTCGGCACAGTTTCAGCGTGAATTCTTCTCAGCTGTTGTGGCCGTCGGGTGCTCTAACTTCTCCCACAGCTCAGCGATGCCGAGGAAGCTCAAAGCTTCAGCTAATTCGGAGCCATCGCCGGTGCGCCCGCGTTGAGATAGCCATCAAGGTGAAATCAGAGCCTTCAAGAGGGCCTGGTTTAGTGTGTGCATGCCTCCCAGAACATGACTTCTGCACCTGCAGTTCTCGGAGAGGCGGAGGCTGAGGTTGAAGTTGGATCGCGTCTTCGAGCACAGGTATCCCTGGCCGTGCGGATCATCGACATGGGTGTAGATGTCGACGATCTACTACCTGTGGCGGTGCTCTGGGAAGCAGTTTAAACCGTTCGGCTTGAGGGTAAAGTGTTCGCATGCTACATCTGATCTCAACGCTTTGCGACAGTAACGGTGGCCACAGTCCGTAGCCTTCTGAGTCTGAGTCGCACTGAGCATGAACGGCACGCTTAGCAAGCGAATTTGGGGTCTTGGTTCGATTGCCTGACTTTACGATCAGAGTCTGCGTGGTGTACCGGCGCAGCACTGTTCTGAGCTTCTTCATCCAGGTTTCGTGGCATAGCACAGCCAGAGCGCATTTCCTGATGCTGGCAAAGTTCCACTGCGACCTTTGCGTTTCCTCTCCGGCCTTCCCCCTAAAACCCGAAAGGCCCAGAACCCAATGCTCTCCCGAGGCGCTGGAGAGCGGGATCGACTTCGTGGAGGCTTCATTGAGCCGAAATCCTTAAGGCTTCCAACTCAAGCCCTCTTTCCTATTCAACTGTGTATGCGGTTACAAGTGGATCCGGTCTACACATCACTTGCCAGGATCTCTCCAAAGCGCTGAAGGCTCCGCAGCGAGCAAGTCCAGAGGATTAGTGAGGTTTCGCGTCTAGGTTTCTGAGGGTCTTGATGCCTCCACTCCTCTCCTCCGCCGACCACAGTGGCCGTCGATGCCGCATCTCCGAGTGCAGCGTCCTAAGATGGCAAAGATTGGCAAAGCAACGACATCGAAACCAACTAAGCCCCAAACCCTAAACCCTAAACCCCAAACCATTGCACTTCAAAAAAAACCCAACCCAAAACCCTAAACCCTAAACCCTAAACCGTTCCGCTGGCAAGGGCCGAGCTGGGTCTGACTTCCATTCATCGCAGCTCGGTGGGAAGCTCGGAATCCTGAAGCCCTTAATTTCGGGAAAGACCAACATACAAGAGTATCCTATAGCTCTGTGTGTGTGTATATACACATGTAGAATATATCTATAGCATGTTGTAGTGTATCGCGCTATCCTGTCTGACAGTATCTTATAGGATCAGTTGATGCGTGAGCTTCCTCTTTTCCCTGTTCTTGGGGATTCGCTGAGGCCGTGCATGGAAGGAAGCCCGACAGGCCTCCTGAAGCGTGTAGGGCTTAATAGAGGGGGCTTAATAACTAGGTTAGATTTTCTTTGAAGGAGCCTATAAGGGCTACTATAAAGGATCGATAAGGGTACTGTACCATAACTAGGATGGGACCGAGTAGCGGTTACAATTAAAGTAGCTATAGCTATAGTTACCTATAACATCTTACAACCCCAATCAGGGTGCTAATAACTTACTAAGTCCCACGATCCTCCAAGTAGGACGTAGGCTTTAGGATATCGATCTCTTATCT